GCTCGCTCGTACCGCACAACTCCATGCACGGCCGCCGTCCCGTGCCGCTCTCCAGCCGAACAGTCGTCATTGGCAAAGAAGGCGACGTGCGGGCGCCGTCCAGCCCGCATCTGTCGAGGCACCACATCCGGCTCGAGCGAGAGGGTGACGGCAACGTGTACGCGACGCACCTGTCTGCGCTGAACTCGACATGGCTAAACGGCAAACGCCTCGAGCACGACCGGCGGACGCTCGTCGAACCGTGCGCAGGCAACGCGCCGTACAGCCTCAGCGGCGAGGCGCCCGACGCACCGCTCCTCTTTGTGGGCGTGCCGAACGCTGCCAGTGCACGCGCGGCCTGCGAGGAGAGGAAGCTCAACGGCTGGTGCGGCTGGTCGCTGCGCCTCGAGCAAGCGGGCGACTGCGTTGCCGCTCCTGCCGGAGCCTCCGCTGCGCCTTCCGCAGAGCCGCAGCGAGGCGGAGCGCTTGTGCTATCATCCAGGGGCGGCGGCGACGCGGCGGCGGCTGAGACGGAGAAGCCCGCTGCGTCAGCGCAGTCATGGGCGGTGGCGGCGACGGCAGCGGCGGAGACCTCGGAGGAAGTCGAGGCGGAGGTGGCAGAGGCGGCAGCAGCGGACGCGACGGCGACGGCGGAGGCGGCAGAGGCGGCGGCGGCGGACGCGGCGGCGAAGGCGATGGCGGAGGCGGAGGTGGAGGCGGCAGAGGCGGAGGCGGCGGCAGAGCCGGAGCCAGAGTGGTGCTCGGAGGAGCCGCGCGCGAAAGAGACCATCTTCCGCGGCGTGCGGCTGCTGCTGGCGGCGCGGCTCGGCGACAAGCTGCGCGAGCTGCAGGAGGAGGTGGTGCGGCGCGGCGGCGGAGAGGTCGTGAGCGACGTGCGCGAGGCGACGCACTTGGCGCTCGAATCGGAGCGCCGCCCCTCCGAGCTGGCGTGCTTGGCCGCGCTGCCTCCGGCACCAGCACCGTCTGGCCCAGCTGCGCCAGCAGGATGATCATGTACGGCCCGCACATGAACGTCGCCGGCCCGCAGGCGCCTCGTGACGAAGGATGGGTCGGGCTGTGCTCCAAGGTCCTCTCGGCCGACGGGGCGCGGACCGACGTGCTGCGCAAGCACTTGCACCCCAGCGCGGTGACGGTTGCCCGAACTGATGTCTGCTTCACTTCTCGACGAGGACGTGACGCGTCCACGGCACGTCCGTTAGGTGGCTGCGGCGCGCGAGCCTCCCTCGCCCGAGGCGTCTGTGGGACCCGAGCCAGGTGGGGCGAGGCCGACGCACCCGAGTTGCAGCTTTTGCCAATGGGTCGGAGGCGGCGGTGGAGGGCCGGCGGCGGCGCAGGGCCTCGCAGGGCCGAGTGCGCTGAGCGAACCGCCCGCCGACGCCTTCTTTGTCCGCGACCCGCCGTCGCCGCCGCTGGGGCTCAAGCTTGCCAAGGAGAAGGCGAGGGGCGACAAGAAGGCGGGGACGTCGGCGAAGAGATCGCATAGTCGGGCATGGGGCGACAGCCGCGAGAGGAGCGCGCTCAGGCACCACTGCGCGCTGGCGGAGCCCTACAAGAAGGCGGAGGACGACGAGCGGCTGAGCGAGGAGGTTTGGATCGCGACGGAGAAGTTCGATGGCGTGCGCATGGTCTCGGACCCGCCGCACGGCTGCACGACTCGAAGCGGTAAGAACCACTTCTGGCCGCCGCCCTCCTTCCTCGCGCTGCTGCCGCAGGCGCAGCTCCACGGCGCGCACTGCTCTCAGGAAACGCCGGTCCAGCTCGGCTGATGTTTGAGCGTAGGACATGAAGCTCGACGGCGAGCTGTGGGCAGGCAGGTGCAGGTTCGCTGCGGTCGGGTCGCTGATGGGCTCGTCATCCCTCGAGCGCGGCCGCTGGTACGAGACCGCGTGGCGCAGCCTGACCTTCGTCGTCTTCGATGCGCCACATGCCGGTGGCATACCTGCAGCGGCTGGAGAAGGCGCGCGCCCGGATCGCCGCCACGGGGCCGCCGGACAGGTGCGTTGCCATGCTAGCCCTCCAGTTCATCTACCCTTTCCGCCGCCGCCCCCACCGGTGACGCACCTGCAGGCGCATCGTCGTTGCGCCGGTGATACAGGTAGCGGACGCGGCGGCCAAGGACGCGCTGCTGCGGCGCGTGGTTGCCCGCGGCGGCGAGGGGCTCGTGCTGCGGCGCAACGAGGCTCGGTGGCGTGCGGGGACCAGCAAAGGCGAGCACTGATCGGCTAACCCCTCGCTCCCCCCCTGCCCCTCTCCTCCTCTCTCTCCCTCTCGCCCTCTCCTCCTCGTGTATCCACCCCCCCTCCCCCCCCCCTCCCCCCCCGCCCCCTCGCTTTCGCAGACCGCAACGTGCTCAAGGTGAAGCAGTGGCTCGACGCCGAGGCTGTGGTCGTGGGCCACAAGAATGCGCCCTCCACCGCCAACCTGCCGACCGTGAAGGTGCAGGCGCTCAACGCGCCGAACGCCGACCCGTCCACCACGTTCGATCTGTCGGTCAGCCGCGAGGAACAGCCATACTTCCCACACTTCCCGTTGGGCACCACTGTCACATTCCGGTATCTGCGATTGCTGTTTTTGCCGTCCTGACGATGACAGCTGACTGACATATGTATCAGCTGCGGGCTTCGCGCGTCTCGTAGAGTCGTACACCTCCTGAGGAGGTACGGCTTTACTCGACAGTCACGGTTGTCGTGTGTGTGTGTCGTTTTCCATTTCGTCTATGCTGCCTTTTGTTAGTCGATAGTCGTACCATGAATGATCGAGAGGCCTCTTCCCTTCGGACAACGAAGAGCCAAGGGCAAGGCACGCAAAGACGAGCCACAAACATCCCTCACAAGTGATCTCACATATCCTCTCGCCCCCTCCACAGCGCTCAGCGGCCGCGGCCTCCTCTCCGCCGCCGCCGCCGCGGCTTCCACTACCACCGCTGCCGCGCCCACCCTCAGGCTCGGCCCCGCCGTGACGCCGAACCGAATCCTCTCCTCCTTGAGCTCCGCGAGAAGCCTGTACATCCCCTCCTTGTGCAACGGCGCTGGCTTCTCATTGCCCCGGCGCCCACGCCTCGACCTTCTTGGGCAGCAGCGGGTTCGACAGGTCCTGTCCGTGGCCTAGGCTGCCGTGGCGGCCCTCGCCCCAGGTAAAGACAGCGCCGTCGGCGGTGATGGCGAGGCTATGCTGCCACCCAGCCGCTACGGCGACGACGCGCTGGCCAGCCAACGCCTCGACCTTCTTCGGCAGCAGCTGGTGCTGCTCGTCGCCATGGCCCAGCTTGCCACAGGCTCCACTGCCCCAGCTCCACACTGCGCCGTCGGCGGCGAGGGCGAGGCTGTGGAAGCCTCCAGCCGACACAGCGACGACGCGCTGGCCAGCAAAGGCCTCGACCTTCTTGGGCAGCAGCTGGATATGCTGGTCGCCGTGGCCCAGGCTGCCATCGAATCCCCGGCCCCAGCTCCAGACGGCACCGTCGGCGGCGAGGGCGAGGCAGTGGCTGCTTGCCGACACAGCGATGACGCGCTGGCCAGCAAAGGCCTCGACGTTCTTGGGCAGCAGCTGGTTCTGCCTGTCGCCGTGGCCCAGCTGGCCTGAGGCTCCCCGGCCCCAGCTCCAGATGGCGCCGTCGGCGGTGATGGCGAGGCTGTAGCTGCCTCCAGCCGACACAGCGACGAAGCGCTGGTCGGCGAAGGCCTCGACCATCTTGGGCAGCAGCTGGGCCTGCTGGTCGCCGTGGCCCAACCTGCCTTGGCTTCCGTAGCCCCAGCTCCAGACGGAGCAGTCAGCGGTGAGGGCGAGGCTGTGTTCGCCTCCTGCCGACACAGCGACGACGCGCCGCCCAGCTAAGGCCTCGACCTTCTTCGGCTGCCACTCGACCTGCGTGTTGCCGTGGCCCAGCTTGCCGTATTCTCCATCGCCCCAGCTCCAGACGCCACCGGCGGTGTGGGCAAGGCAGTGGGCATCTCCCACCGCCACGCTCACGACGCGCTCACCGCCCAGCGGGGAGGGGAGGCGGGTCGGCGTGTTGAGCCGCGTCACACCCTCGCCGTGGCCGAGTAGCCCTGGGTTGAAGGACGGCGCTAAGCCGCACGACGAGAGCCGCCCCTCGCCGTCAATGAAGAGGCTGTGCAGAAGGCCTGCTGCCGCCCTCGCCGGCGGGTTGGACTCGCACAGCAGCGCAGCGAAGCACAGCCACCGCAGGGGGCAGCCCTCACCCTCTGGCAGCGCCGGCAGCTCGAAGCCGCGCTCTTGCGCCCACAAGCGGATGGCCTCCAGCGCAAGCGAGGCGTGGAAGAGCAGCGAGACGGCCGCGACGCGAGCGATGTCGGCGGGGTCGCAGCGAGAGATGGCGCGCAGGAGGAGCTCCGTGGGGAGGTCGAGGAGGCGGGCGGGCGGCGGCGTGTCTGGCGAGGGGGCGGCGGTGGAGGCGGAGGCGAGGCGGCGCGAGCGGCGGCGCGGCGGGGTGGACATCTCGGGAAAAGAATTCTTGAACGCAAGCGTCTCTCACAGCACACTGACACGACAAGGGCGCGGACTGGCGCGTACTGGCACACTCACCGGCTCACCGCCGGAGCCGCCTAAGCGACTCCGTTAAGAACGGCAATGCATTCCGCACCGTGCACAATGCCGCTCTCCCCGCACGCTAGCTCGTTCACCGTCTGCCACGCCACGGCGGTGTGGAGGACGACAGACAAGCGCTGCATCTGCAGCCCGTGCCAGTTCTTGGTGGTCCATGTGACCTCGTCCAGGTGCTGACACAGCACACTCCTCTCCTTAAAATCCCTGTGTGGTGGCGGCGTGCCGTGGTCCTCCCATCCCTCCCTTGGGTTGTCTGTTTTCTTTCTTTATTTCTTGGGCACAGGACTGGCGCGCACTGAGGAAAATAATAGCACGAAAATAGCCCAAACGAGGGATGGAAAGAAAAGAAAGAAAACGGACAACCCAAGGGATGGGAGGACACGGCCGTATAACTTCAATTTTTTATTCAGCCGCGTGTGCCCGCCGGCCAAAAAATGGGCTGCACTCCCAGCAAGGTGGTGGCCGCCGAGCCGCCGCCGCGCGATGGCCTGCCGGGACCGACTGGCGCACCGCGAAACACGTCGTTCGCGGCTCACGGCCGCTGGCCGGATCGCTTTGCACATGAGAGAGCCAAGATTTGCATTGTCGGTGCTGGCGCATGCGGACTGCTCATGGCACGGAAGCTGCAGAAAATGGGCTACCAGCACGTGCACGTGTACGAGCAGGCCGGCCGCGTGGGCGGCTACGCAACCACAATCGAGGTGGACGGACGCTACTTCGACGTCGCCACCAAGTACATTCCGACCGCGACCGCGCACGGCAAGGGCGCAATCCCGCCCTTTCAGGAGATCATGGACGAGTACCAAGCGAAGCACGGGTTTACGTACGAGAAAACGCCAGGCATCGGGTTCTACTCGTCCGAGGAGAAGGCCCCCTTGACGCTCCCGCCTCAGCTCGAGAAATTCTCCCCGTTGCAGATCGTGCAAGAGCTACTTTCGTACTTGCCGTTTTGAGTATTTGCGGCCCGGACCGCGACCGAGTATGTTCCCGGAGGGGCGCCAAAAAGCGGTTAGTGGTGCACTAACCCCGAGAAACCCTTCGGGTCACTCCTCATCGCAAACCGAAACCCTGTCAGCAGTCCTCCTCCGGGAATGTACGTAAGAGCCGTGTGTGTATCGCGCGCCTTGCGGGGGGGGCGCGGAAAAGAGGAACCTCTTAGCGCCATCGCCACGGTGCTGCAAGCAGCGCCTGGCACTAGCCACGGAAATTAGAAAACACGGTGGCGTATCTTGGGCTTACTCACGGTGGGCAAGTAGAGGACAAGTACATCTGTACACACCATGGGAGCGGAGCTGCTCTTAGTCCTAGAAGATGTAGGATTGCGAGCGTGGGTGCTAGCAATCGCACAGAGATGCTACGATTGCGAGGAGTGCTGCTCACAATCCTTCGACTTCTAGGATTGAGAGCGAGGCTGCTCTCAATCCTTCCGGTCTAGAAAAGAAGGTTCACCTCCAGAGAGCCGACTCGGCGGCAGACTCTGGCATCGCCCTCGCGGACCGCAGCTTACCTCTTACCTAAAATCCTTAGGGGGGCGGCTCTGGCCTGAGTGCCGGCCGGAGCTAAGAAACCACGGCGTGGGGTGGATGAGGGCTGTGGAAAGGCTTAGAAACGGCGGCGTGCCGCCGAATCCTGTTTTCTTAATGCCCGCAACCCACTGTAGCCCGCCGATCGGCACCCTTCCCTGGCGAGGTACTCCCACGCCTCTCGGGGTTTTTGTCTGGCCGAGTCAACCCGAGAGTGCTGGGGCGAGCCTCGGCGAGACTGCGTCAGCTGTTCCCACAGCAGGCTGGAAGTACCTCGCCAGAGACCCTTCCCTCCCACCACGGTCCCCGCACGCTTTGCATGTACGAGGACGTTGACCTGCTCGATCCCGAGTTCACGGACGCGGACCTGCTCAACGACGCCGGTGGCAAGCGTGGGCGGCAGAGCGGCGCCGGCGCGGATGGTGCGATGGAGCCGGCGGGCCTCTCCTGGGCGCTGGAGGCTGTTCCACCTGGGCTTGCGCGCGCGGAGCGCGCCAAGAAGTTTGGCGTCGAAAAGGCGGCAAATCCGCTGGACGCCAGAGCGTCGGCGGCGGGCGGTGTGGGCAAGACGGAGGCGGGGCTGTGGGAGAAGCGGCGCGACGCGGAGGCCGGAATTCCTGCACCCTTTGGCCCGGGCTCCGTCTTTTGTGTTCAGCTGCATTCCCAGCCGTCGCCCCAGCCGCCGCCCCATCCTCCGCCGCCTCCTCCCGCGCTGCCTGCCGCGGATCCTTCCGTGGCGTGGTGTGCAGCCGGCGAGCGTGGGTCTTTGAGCAAGGAGTCTTCGAGTGAGGAGCCGTGCTCATCTGATGCCTCAAGGCGTCCTCGCCGAACAGGAGCCGGTCTCGGATCCGCCGCCCAACCGGCGGCCACCTCCTCGGCTCATCTCTGCTGGGGCGCACAGCTGGCCGGCACCGAGCGCTGTCCAATGGTGACGCCAAAGTCGCCCGCCTTTCGCGACCGCTTCTGCGCCGCGTGCCGGGAGGGGCCCATCATCGTGCCCTGCTCCCGCATCCGCGTCTTGGACGGCTCGCTGCCTGCTCCGAGCAACTCGCGCGCCGAGGGCATGTGGAATGCCCAAAAGACAAAGCCGCCGTTCTGGCCCGCGCATCGCGTCGTCAACCAGACGGCGGACACCTTTGGCCTCAGGCTCATCATCCTGCGCGACGAGACGTCGGACCCGCTCCACGGCCTCGCCCCGCTTCCCGCCGAATTTGGCTCCGCGATTGCGTTTCTCGTCCGGAGGACACTCACCCCCGTCCCGATGCCTGGCATGCCCACGCAGCTCGTCCAAGCGCTGCGGGGCACGGGCCAGGGTGGCACGCTCGCACGCAGCGCCGCCCCTTCGAGATTGCTGCTGCGCGCCGGCTCGAGTGGGGACGGGTCCACCGTCGCGCTGGTGCCACCCTGCCTGCCGCCCCTGGAGGAGGCGCTCGTCCTGCCGCTTGGTCCTGCACCAGCCGCTGCCGCCGCCGCGTCTGCCCAGCCGCTGAGATGGCGCTTTGGTGAGCTGGTGGACGCGGTGGCTGCCGACGCAAGTGCCGCGGAGCTGATGCAGCTGCTGGTGACGCCTCCAACTTCGCCGCCCGCGCCGCCGGCGTCGCCGTCCACGACAGAGGGCGTCGCGGCGGCTTGGTCGGCCTCTTTCGCCCGTGACGCGATCTCGCTTGGATTCGGCGGGGCGGTGGCAGCCTTTGCCGTGTACATGGGTAGCGAGCACGCCATCACGAAGGCGAACGTGCTCGCGGTCGCGGGTGTGCCGACATTCCTCGCGTCGGCGCTCAGCCTCTGCCTCTTCCTGGCCCCCACGCACGGTGGAGAGCCGACCTTCGGCGCCTTTCAGACGCGCATCTTCTCGCTCGTCGCGTGCGCCTGGGCGTACCGCGCCTACTCGCGGGTCGCCAGCGCACGCCCCGTCTCCGACCCGTTCGTCGAGCCCGCGCTCGTCGCCGAGGTGGGCGGCCCGGTCCTGTGCTCGCTCCTCACCACCGTCGCATTGCTCCTCGCGGCGGGAGGCGTCTGCACCACGCGTGCGGTCGCTCGCGGTCTGCTGGCCGTCGCGGGCAGCGGCATGCTGCTGCTCTCGTCTGCCATCTGGGTCGTGTCGGGCGGAAGCGCGCGCTCGTACCTCCCGCTGCAGTGCAACTCGTACCCGGTGGCGCTCGTCTCCATCAGCTTCTTCTTCTACGCCGCTTGGTGGCTCACACCGGAGAACTGCAGGCGACTGCAGGCGGCGCTGCAGGGCGGGGTTGGGCGGGTGCAGCCCGCGCGCGTGACGTCGATAGGGCATGTCTGACTGCAGCACACACACACAAGCCCGCTTTTATTTTCTGACTTTTTTGATCACGAATTAGCTGTACATTGGCCAAAGTACAGGTTTCGCGACCCGGGCGCGGGCCACCGTCACCGCAAATTTTGATCAGCAAATTTCGAGGGGCGGCCGCAAATTTTGAGGTAGATTTTGATTGTGCAAAAAACGTGTCCGTCTTGGGGGGCACAGGATAGAGCATATAGGCGGCGCGAACACCCAGGTGCGCAGGGACATCGCGACTCTCTGCCCGCTCGCTCGACCCTTTTGCCGCGAGAGGGCGCCGGCCGCGTGTAAGAGGTGGCTGGCGCCCTGAGGCGGCAAATGGTGGCACGTGGGGAGTGCGGAGAACGCTACTGGCGGCGTGACAGGGCCTCTCTCCGCTGCGCGTGTGCCGCCCATCGGCACGCGGGTGCGCAGACATCGCGACTCTGCCCGCTCGCTCGACCCTTTTGCCGCGAGAGGGCGCCGGCCGCGTGTAAGAGGTGGCTGGCGCCCTTTGAGGCGGCATTTGGTGGGGTCAGCGTGCGGGGCTGAGTCTTACTCGTCGCCGCTGGGGCCAGATCCCAGCGCAGAACTCTGCAACGCTGGCATACAAACACAAGAAGACTAACCCTAACCCTAACCCTAACCCTAACCCTAACCCTAGGTCAGCGTGCGGGGCTGAGTCTTAGTCGTCGGCGCTGTGGGGCCAGATCCCAGCGCAGAACCCTGCAACGCTGGCATATACAGACACAACAAGACTAACCCTGACCCTAACCCTAACCCTAACCCTAACCCTAGCCCTCTAACCCTAATAACCCTAACCTATAACCCACCCCCCAACTCCACACCGCAAATTTGAAAGATCTTGATGAAAATCAGGCCCGACTGCAAATTTCTTCAAAATTTTCGCAGGCGCTCTCCGCGACTGCAGATTTTGAAATAAATTCGACAAAATTGGTACCTGGCCCAAGCTGTACTGACCGACAATCACCACTGTGTGTGAGTTACTGAGTTTCGAACTTCGGCTTTCGCCTCTAAATTCTTTTTCGTCGCGCACGACACTACTCACTATAGGCACGGGACTCGGGACTGGCGCGCACTGGCACTTTTTAGTTGTGAAACCCGGCGAGAAATTCTTTTCGTCGCACGACACTGGGCATCGCAGGAGTCGCTTAGGCGGCTCCCGTGGTGTACCAAAGGACGACATGAGCAATAACCAAACCGCCATAGGTTTCGTGCGCAGGGATCCCTAGTTAAAATGCGGCGGCAAGAGCACAACCGGGTCCAACCAAAGAGAGATTTTCTTTTCTTGTCGGAGAACGGACGTACGTAAAGAATTTTTCTTGAGTCGTGAGAGAGAGAAAACAGAGAGGTTTTAGCAATACCAAAACATCATTTGGTTGTTTTGAGAGAGAGATTTTAGAGATTTTTGAAAATCAAACAAGAAATCACGACTCTCGCAGTGATTACATTTGGGCTCGGCAGCTTGTTAGCCCTCAGCCGAAGCTTCTTGTTTTGAAAACAGACAAACAAACTAGAGCCCAACCTAGAAATAATTTGTTGAAAACAGCTCCGAGTAGAGGGAGGGGGCGGTCTGCTTCTACGGGAAACCCGGAGCGCGGGGCTATGTTGTGCGAGGCGTGAACCGCGCCATTCGCTCTCACCTGGCAACCCTGTCTGCACGTCTCGCGCGCGCGTGAACAGGGCTCCAGGCCCCAAATGACGTGTGAGTGTTAGAGTTGTTTGGTATTGCATAAAGGTATTGCTAAAAAATCTCTCTCAAAGGCGCGAGACACACCAAGCAACTCAAACAAAAAACAACATACATCATTTGTCTATCCAGAAAGAGAGAGAGAGAGAGATTTTGAGAGAGAGATTTAGCAGAAAGAAAGAAAGAAAACAGAGATTTAGCAATAAATAAATAAATAAATACAACGTACACGCCAAACGAGGGGTGGGAGAAGGAGATTTAGCAACACCATTCCTAAAACTGACGGGCCAATTTTTTTTTCCCTGCCCGTCGTGAACCACACGCCGTTCCCACATGAACGATGGACTCCCGCAAGCGAAAGCCCCCCGACTGGGGTGGCTTTGAGCGGGAGGCAAGAGCGCAGGCATGCTGGGGCCAGATTCTCGGCGATGCGACCGGCTGTCCGCCTGTAGAGGCGTCGTCCAGAAAGCTCTTCAAACAGCGCTTCTGTGATTTGTGCCGAAACGGCGGCCTGACGGTTCCCGCGGCTCGCCTTCGCATAGTCGGCAACGGCTCGTCGGCGGTCGCGAACGACAAGTCCGGTGGTGCATGGAACATGAGGCGCGACACGTCCCTCTGGCCCGAGCACCGCGTAATCAACCAAAATGCAGTGCCAAAGATGGTGCTGCTCCGCAGAGGCTCTCTCGAGGAGCTGCCGGGCCTCCTCCCCTACCCGTGTGCGCCGTCCGAGGTGGTGCGACTCCTGGTGGGCGCCCAAACCCTCCGGCCAGCTGCCGTCCCCGCGCTGGCGTCCCCGCCGTCGACGTCACCACGCGGTGATGGCGGTGGCGGTGAGGGCGGGGGAGGAGAGGGAGGAGGAGGAGAGGGGGGAGGAGGAGAGGGGGGAGGGGGCGAAGGCGTCCTCAATATCTCGTCAGGCTCCAGCTCGTCGACCGAGTCGCAGGCCCACAGCCGCGGAGAGACGCCGCCGAGCACAGTGGCCCCCCTCGCGCCCTGGAGCGACTTGTGGGAGGTCACCAGCGGGTCGACGGTGGATGGCATGTCCTGGACAGGCGCCATCGCATATGCCAGTGCCAGCGCTGGTGGCAGCACCAGCACCAGCACCAGCAGCACCAGCAGCAACGGCAGCAACGGCAGCAGCAGCAGCAGCAGCAGCAGCAGCACCGGCAGCAGCACCGGCAGCAGCATCGGCAGCAGCAACACCGGTAGCGGCAGCAACAACAGCGGCAGCGGCAACAACAACAGCGGCAGCAGCAGCGGCAGCAGCAGCAGCGGCACCATCAGCGGCAGCGGCAGCACCATCAGCAGCAGCAGCTGCACCGGCAGCAGCAGCACCGGCAGCAACACCTTCTGTCCAGGGGGAGGAGCAGGAGCGGAGGAGCCAAGCGGGGTCTTGCACGGAGCGGAGGGGTACTTCGAAGACGAAGGCTTTGTTGACGAGCTCTTCACGGTCGAGCAAGTCGAGCAGTTCTTCTCGCCGCCCGCCTCGCCACCTGACCTGCTGCCGCAGCGCGGCGCGCCTCTTCCCTCGAAATTCTGGCACTACGCGCTGCCAGTGCTATGCTACGGCCACGATCTTCCTGGTATGCTCCGCGCGCTGACTACACGGTGGCACGGGGAACCCGAAGGGCCGCTGGCACTAGCCGGGCCGCTGGCGCTTGCAATGCCCATTATGTTCATTTGGGTCTCAATGATTGCCTGTAACCTCCTTGTCTTAGGACCGCTGACAAACAAACCACAGCCGCTGTCCATTCAGCTTGCGGGTATGGCTATGATCGTCTACCAATGCATTGTTGCTCTTTCTCGTTTTCAACTCACCAGTCAATCGGCCACAATCGAGGAGCTGGCCAGTTGGGGAAAACCGGCTCTTGACGCCGTCGTGGGCGTCGCGCTTCAAAGCGCTGCCAGCCTCGGCCAGATCGCACCTTGGACTTGCGTCCGCGCGCGCATTGGTTTGATGGGTGCTACGGGGGTATTCTGCAGCACAGTCCTGTGGTTCTGGACAGATGGCCGCGCCACTGCATATCCACCGGGCCCATCGACGTTTGGAATTTCCCTCTCAGTAGGGTGCTGCGGCCTGGGCCTCGTCCCGCTTACCAGCCCCAGCATGAGGCTTTGGCTTGGCAAGCCGTGGATCAAGCAAACGGCGGCGGCGCCGGCGCTGACCGCTGTTGTAGACCCCTTTACGGGTAGCCGGATGTTAGGAGGAGGAGGAGTAGGGCATCTAGTAGCGTAGGCACTCGTACTCGAGCGTAGGTGCTCGTAGGTCGTAGCGTAGGAGGGAGCGATGCCTCAGAGTGGTGTGCGGGCCGCGTGGCCCGTGTGCCGGTCCGGCGAGAGGTGGGTAGCAGGAGTTAGGTACATTAGAACAGGAGTTCGGTAAGAGGAAAAGGGCTCCCTAACTCAAGCTACCTTACCTTAAGTTCGGTACCTTACGGTAAAAGCACGTACACAGTGGGTGAGGGCGAGGCTGCCCAGGGCCGAGAGGTGGTAGGGAAACATCTCGTTGCAAATGAAGGAGAGCCGCTCGTCGAGTAGGTACGTGGCCACACCGAAAGCCGAGGCAATCGACAGAAGGAACCCGGCCACCACCATGCACTTCCAGCGAAGGGGGCGCGGCATGGTGGCGGTTACCGCCCCGATTGCCCCAACTAATACGGTCCCGGGCAAACGAAAGATGTCCACGCTCTCCTTGGCGCGCAGAAGATCGTCCGCGGGGACGAGCAACAGTAGCGCCGTCAGCGGAAGAGGGTGAAGCGGGATCACGAACGCCCACGCGCGAGCCAATTCGTCGCCGCAGAGCAGCGCGTTGGACACGGAGAAGGCGGCCAAGCTGAGGCACACCGCGCCAAAGAAGACGGGGAAGATGGACGCCATCTCGCTTTGGTGCGCGGACAATGCGGCTCCGGCGGCGCCGACCGCGCCGAACACGAGGCTGAGCGAGAGGACGGGCGGCTCCATCCCCGGCCCCCTCGCGAGGAAGCCGACGACCGTGCCGTACCGCGGCGCTGGCGGCTCGGG